TAATGCGTAGGTGTCCAGAAAAAATGGGTCTGTGGGTATTAGCTCATAATAAAAATCACTGAATATTTTCACCCAGTAAACTGCTCACCAAATATTATTGAAGTACACAATGAAAAATCTCCTTTTCTACCAGCTCTAAATGAGATATGAGCCTTTGGACGTGCAGTTGACAAATAATGCAGGTATAAGAATTTGCAAATCCTGTACAGTGTATGTGGAGTCCACTGGCTCTAGACATACATCCACAATCTGGAGTTGTGCAGCCTGAAATAAACACAGCTGTGTTTATCTGAATGTGTGATCCCATGTACATGGGAGAAAGTTCAAATAAATGCACTCTGTGCGACAATGCTGTAAATGCAGCAACTGCATTTGTCAGATGTGTGATGATGCAATCTCTTAAATAAACAGAATGAGCTGTTTGTTTGAATTCTGAGCTGCAGAAACGTAAAAATATATGTACATTAATCAAAGCCAACAAAATGAAATCCAAAACAGCTATAAGATCTTTACTGAACCTCAGCTGAAAATTTGCTTCTTGTCCATAAGGACCCAGAATAAAGTTCTTCGTGTTGGTATTTAGCATATGGTGTAATTTTTAGACAGTAAGAGATTAAGGGAATAGATAACCATCAGTTTTGGGTTTAGTGGCCCAGTCCTGTTTTTCCTAAGAGACCCCATTGTCAAAGACCAACTGTAGAAATACATAGAATCTTAGAATGGCTTGGGTTGGAAGGGACCTTAAAGATCATCTCCTTTCAGCCATCTTCCACTAGACCAGTTGACTCCAAGTCCCATCCAACCTGACCTACAACACTTCCAGGGATTCACAATTTCTATGGACAGCCCCTAGGAGTACCTCAACACCTTCTGAGTAAAGAATTTCTTCCTAAGAAAAAGAAATGGTGGGATATCCCCATTTTTCATCTTATCAACCAAAGTGATAGCTCTATTTTACTGCTAAAATATCTTTATTTGGGATGTGTGGCCTGCTCAGTTCTCAAAAGAACCAATAGTCTGAGGAATAAGTTCCTGATGAGCTGAAGAATATGTGAAGGAAAAAGAAAAATTGAATGAATGTAGATGCTATCAAAACTGTTGTTTTACTCAGAGTTAACATTGGCTCAGTGTTTCACTATAAACTCATTCAGAAGAGCAAGTTACTGGAAAAAATCCTCCACTTGAGAAATATGCAATAGTTACTGATGAGTCAGAAGTTGGAAGTAGTGACACCACCACACACTATTAAAAAGTCCTACTTTCCAATACTGTCTGACTGCTCTGCAACCCAAAATAACATCACAGCAGAAGCACTGTAAAGCTTTTTTTCATTTGTCTTAAGCATATTCCCTTCAAAAACACGAGCTGTGCAAATGGTCTTAAGAATGGTTACTGTGGAATTAGACCATCAAATTTCTTGACTTATGTGCTTTAAAATCTTGCCCAAAAGATGGCACTAACATTGTTTTTAGTAACATATATTGGATATAGATTTAATTCTTCCCCCATGTAAAAAGCATCTTCAAACTGGTCACAAATATATGTTGGAAGAACGTGCTTAATGTGCAGTACTATGCCAGCTGACAATTGCTGTATAGGAATTAAGCTTCCCTCACGTTAGGATCATCAGACACTGCACAGAAACTATTGCTGGACCAGCAGATGTGTCTGTCAAACTACAGAAACCCTGAGCTATG